CAATCAAGGAAGCATGTTATATTTGTATTACATATTTCAACATAGTTAAAGTATTTTTAAAACCACCAGAAAGTACTCAAATGATTTTACCCTAATCTGCACAATTGTGAATGTGTTTCCACTATGTATGACCAGTTATGATCATTTTACCCGCTCTGCACTGGTGTGAATGTGTTTTCACAGTGTACGACCAGTTATGTTGATTTTACCCGCTCTGCAATACTGGGAATGTATTTTTATAGTGTATGACCAGATTATCAGAGATTTTTGGGACCCATCCTCGTACACACATAGGCTTTGGGTCGTGTACTAGGGTGATTAGCCTTTGGTAGCTTTGTGTACGTATGACCAGATTATCAGAATATCAGATTTGAATAGCTTTGCCTTGTACATCGAGATTATTCTGTACGTGAGTAAGGCTACTCATTGGGTACCTTTTGATGTGATTTTTCAATATTTCTACAGTTTATCAGATTTCAGATTATAGAATTCAGTCTATTTAGTTCTCAGATTAAAGCTTTCAACTTATAGTATTGAGTAGCAGCAATATTTCACAGATTTTCACGGATATCATATTATTTATATTCGTTATATTTTACAGTTGCTTATCTAGAATGAAGAACAAAGAATTTTATGATGTATTCATGTTTGATTTTAAAAGTGTTACCAGATTTCAGAATTTCTAGAAATTTTAGCAGTGTAAGAATTTTCAGAAAATATGCATAAATGATAAAAAGTTTACCTATTTGAAATTATCCACTCACTTAACTTTAAACTCATATATTTTTTTTCACCTTTTTCTTTATTGACAGATAGCAACCGAATTAAGCAGCATTGGGCCTGTCAAACTACCAAATTGAGCCACACGTCATAGGTTCTTGCTAATCAAGGCTACTTATACTTTAAATAAGTTGGCAAAGTTGTATGTGGATGAGATAGTGAGTTTATATGGTATCCCATTATCTATTGTGTCTGATAGAGACTTTCGTTTTACATCTAAATTTTGGCCAAGTTTGTAGGAGCCCATGGGTACTAAATTACATTTCAGTACACCTTTTCATCCTCAGATAGATGGCCAGTCAGAGAGGACCATACAGACTCTTGAGGATAGAAGTTCCATCCAAAAGATCAGTTAAGTCATCATGTATAACACATATGATCAAATAAGCGCAGGGCAATGATGTCACACACTATTTAAATCTTGTAATAATAGAAAAGAAAAAAAAAAACGAAAGTAGAAAACAAGAACCGTATTGAAGATCCCCCTTGACCCAGCCTTTCACATACACTCCCTTCTAGATGAATATGCAAAAAGTAGTAACTAGGTGCTGGGGGTGGTGGTGATATTAGGGACAATGATTGTAATTGTAGGAATGGACGACGGTAATGTTCGGTGATAATATGGGCGACTTTGGAAGAATATGCTTGTAAGAAATAATTGGGTTTAGGGTAGTGGCGGCAGTTGGGTGTTTGGGAAGAAGGTGATATTTTTTCAATTATTTTTCTTGCATATTTTTTTATTTTTTGTCCTTTTTATAATTTTTTTTCCCTTATATTCTTTCACTATATACCTAAAAGTAAATGGATTTTATTCTTTTTGATATTTTTTGTTGTTTTTTAAAGGTTATACGGATGAAGACCATCCAAACGGACTATTTGTATAAGGACATTTTATGTTAGTGGATTTTGCACAAAAATTTGAAGGCCAGAGATTGTGAGTTGTGGCACATAACAAGTTACAGCTTTCTAAATTATTATTTTTAAACTGAACACAAATTGTTAAGTAGATAATATAAAAATATTCATGTTTGTCCACATCTATTTTGGCATATTATTGGCCCACATTGTTTTTTTGGCCTCGTTAACATTGTGTCACATCGTACAATTTTATCAAGAGAAAGAATGACGAGGCAAACTACATTTTCTTTCATACATCACTATTACTAAAATACAATTTTGTGCTGATTTTATATTGTACAACATGTTATATTAAATAATTTTTTGCTACAAAATCGATATTACTCCAATTCATCTACTATGAGTACCATTTTAAATTGTTATCAACAAATAAATTATCAATATCGTTCATTATAGATGTTGGGCCATTGAGAATGTTGCTACTACTGCTAATTGTAAACATCACAATATTTATGTTATCAAGTCGAATACAATAATAAACTAGAATTATTCAACTAATGCAATTTAATATGCCACAACACTATAGACAACGAAGAATTGCTTATAATTTATATTGTTATATCTTAATCACGTTCATTTGAGTTGCTTAAGAATAACATTAACATGATTAGTCCTTTGTAAGAAATCATTTTCTTTCTCATTGTATTCTAACAAATAATAGTGATTTAGATTTTTGATTTTCCATTTGTAACAAGAATTGCATAGAACAATTGATTCCAAGTATCGGGTACACCAGAAAGACACCAATGACTGCAGTCATTCCCTTTAGCTCCACCAATGCCATATATTGATGGATGTCCATCTTTTCTTAGCTGAGAAAGTTGGGTTACGTCAAGCAATCCCACTGTAGTCGACATATTACTTAACACTCCTTTTACTACAACCACCGCTGGCGACGATCCTCCCGGGTACGTCGAGCCGGTAATGGGCTGAGTTTCACCATTGCATGTGGTTCCCTTTGATGCATTCCACTCAGCACCACTGTGCAAAACAAAGGAGAAAATAAGGGGGTGTTCTCTTTGTGTTTCAGTTTTGTGTTTTGAGTTTTGAATTCATTTTGAGTTTTGTGTCTTGAGTGTTTATTTTGAAATTGTTGAAAATACGTTTTTTTTGTTAGTTTCTCAAAACAAAAAAAAATGATTTTTTTTTTTGAAATTTTGAGAATCACCACAACACCACCTCAAAACACCAAAAAAAAAAAAAAAAAAAGGTGTGTTTCCCGCGTTTTCAATTTTTTCAAGTTTTATACTGAAAACGCCCAAAACGACAAAAAAGTCGTTTTGTGTTTTCTTCACAATTTTTTTTTCGTTTTCGAAAACGGGAAAGAAAACATGTTTTCATCGTTTTGAAAAATCGAAAACAGAAAACGGTAAAGAGAACAGGGCCTAAGTAATTGTTGGGGTCACATATCGTGCAAGATTTTGAAACAATGTTAATTGCTCAATTTAAAGCGCTCTTTTTACATTGATCATTGAATTTTTATCATTTCAAATCAGTCACTGAATTTTTATTTTTGTTTCAATTTGGAAGCACTCTCTTTTATTGAATTATACGAAAATGCATTTAACAAAAGAAAAAAAGAATGGTTAGTCCAACAAGATACATTTTTGCTTGGAAGTGCTTATTTAGATAAAGGTTTCTTACTTATAATGGGTAGGAGAGATGCCTTGAAAGAATACTTTAGTCTGGGAGGGATCTATATTTGAATCCACCCACTTTGACCAAGTTTTTAGTCCCTCACCAAATGCAATCAAACGATCCATGTCTTTGTACAATTTATCTCCTTTTTGGATGTAGTCCCATCTGAAATCAGAAGCAATTAAAAAGGGAGACAACAGAAAATTATTAGGATATGTTTATGTTAGATTCAACATGAACAAGGAAGAGAGACATGTAACAAAATTCGTCATTTTTCATTTTTCATTTTTAGTAGTGTATAATTCAACATACCAAAGATGACATTCGAATATGAAAAAAATAAATAAATAAATAAATAAAATAAAAATCTTACGGTTTTGCGCTTCCTTTATGGAGCCACCAATGCCATGTATTGAAAATGAGCATATCCAAACCTTTCCATGAGTTCCCATTTTGGATAGAATCAAGTTTAAGAATTCTGCCCTTCTTCTCTTTCACTAAATCTACTAAAAATGCGTTGCGTAACAACATCAAAGACACGTTATAATCCTGCATATTTTCACAGGGTACTTTTGGTTAATTAATTATACTTCCATTTTGAAAAAGCTTGTAATTTTTTTATGATCAACTCATCTTAAAGTTTAAACTTCTAGCGAACAAGCGAAAAGAAACCCACCGAAAAATAAAAAGTTGAGAGGTCTCCTCTCCTCTGCAATGAGAAGTTTGACTGGGGAACTGCTGCATGTAACATACATGTGAGAGATTGCCATTGGTTGAGGCTAAGAGAGTCCCCGACAAACATTATCTTCTTCCCCTTCATTCTCTCCAAGAAATCTTGTCCATTAAATCTGCGCGTACATTTTTACTTAACTCAAAATCCACCGATGGCTGAGCCAGGATTTATACATAAGAAGGCAAAAAAATGTTGATACATGTATTATGTATATATTAAAAAATATTGCGGGTGAGTTCGCCACCCCCACCAATTTGGTATCTTTACCTCTAGAGTCCATGTGCAATGTCAGAGTTACTTAAAAGTAAGAAAAAAAGTAACTTATTTAAATATGTTTAGAAATAAGAAGTTACTTGGGGAGTTCACATCCTTGGGGCTTCCATCTATACTTAAGGTAGAGCCTATCAGTTCTTCCATTTCCCCCACAATCAAACTGCTGTTCAATAAATGAACACATTGAAGACTTGTATAGAGGATATGTATCATCATAAATCCAACTCCCTTGGAAAAAATTGCAGCCGCTCATTCGCACCCCTTGCANTTCCGTCATATCTAATTTAAAATACTTTGTCTCCGGTTGGCCCCCATCTTTTAAAATTAAATTTTCCTCAAATTCATTTTCAACCTCATATTTTGTGAGATCCAGAACTTATATCTATTTTTCAATCATACATTTCATTAACTTTTATCAAAATTTCACCGTCGATATAATTATTCAAATCATAATGAATCCTTGTACATATTTATAAAATATATAATTTATTCTTCTTTTTCAATATGGGGTGGATTGGATTTATTAGGGTCGATATTGAGTTGAGGACATTAATCGTATTATGAGTCAATTTTGACCAATCCTATATGGATCAACCATACATAAAAGAAGATCAATTGCAGTAAGATTTTCTAACAAATAATTTATTCCAATATAAAGTTCTTTTTAATTGAAAATATAGAAATGCATTTAAATATACAAACCCAAAATGTACAAAGAAGTAAGGATCAAACAAATCCTTGATGCCAGAACAAAGATAAAATATAAGACGGGAATTTCTGGGAAAAAGAAAAATTTACGTCGTCTGTAAGGAAAGCGAAATTTCAGGACCAAAAACACATAGAAATGCGACTTTTTACATTCTCTTCTCCCAGTAATCAGTATCCAAAGTGATCGGATACAGGTCAGCGGTCGAGGTTGAGGAAGCTGTCCAAGGAACATCCATTGAAATACTTTGGTCTTGATCATCATTTGACTCTGTTGCTTGGTCTTGACTCTTTGGCTTCATTTCGTCCATTGAAATACTGGAGTCTGGTACAAATCCTTGAACACGCTCTCTTCCTTCGAGTATGCTTACAACTGTTGACATACTTGGTCTTTCGGCAGCTACAGCATTGGTACAATGGAGCGCTACATTGATAGTCATGATCACCTCTTTTTTACTGAAGTTTGATTCCAACCTTGGATCAATCAGTTCCGTTAATTTTCCGTCAGCCTTCAAGGAATTAGCCTAAAAAAAGGAAACAGAGCTAGTCAGAGTTTGTACGAACACAATTAGGAATAAGCACATAAAATAATAGCAACTGTTACCCAATCAAGAAGATAGAAAAAGTCCTCTTTTGGCCTGATACTAGTGTTGCTTCTACCACTGACAATTTCTAGAAGAACAATTCCGAAACTGTATACATCTGCTTTATCGGTCAAATAGCCTCGCATAGCATATTCAGGTGCCATATATCCACTGGGAGATACACAACACATGGATACGTCATGTAATTTTAATATTATGTAGTATCATTTCAGATAAGTTATGTAGAAAAGGAGAAAGGAGAAGACATTTGTCAAAAATAAGAAAAGAAAAGAAAAAAGAAAGCAAGATGAGCATTTTATTACTCACAAAGTTCCAGCGATACGAGTGCTTATATGGGTATTATCTTCTTCATCGAGCTTGGCAAGACCGAAATCAGATATTTTTGGATGAAGATTCTCATCAAGAAGCACATTGGTAGCCTTGATGTCCCGATGGACAATTTTTAATCTCGATTCCTCATGAAGATAAGCCAATCCTCTTGCTATACCAATACAGATCTTGCGCCTTGTAGGCCAATCCAATTTCAACTGGTGTTCTTCTGGACCTGAGAACACCCGTTTGCACAAAAATATACGAATCAGATAACAACGGGTTACACGTTTTTGCATTTCATTTCAGTACTGGAATAAAAAAGTTAAGCTTTTTTGCATTACCAAATAAAGCACGAGCAAGGCTGTTATTCTCCATGTATTCGTACACAAGCAACAACTGGTTGCCTTCGATACAGCATCCATGCAGCTTTACAAGATGAGGGTGTTGTAGAGCAGAAATCATGCCTATTTCATTCACAAATTCACGGTTCCCTTGCTTCGATTTAGAAGAAAGCTGCTTCACAGCTATGATGGTTTCATCTGACAGGAGACCCTTCAAACAATTCATAATGTCAAAAGAGGTTTCAAGTGACCAAACCATAGTAGATTCAAAAAATAGCTCTTCCTTAGGATACCTTGTACACAGGACCAAAACCACCTTCTCCAATCTTGTTAGCAGGATCAAAATTGTTTGTGGCAGCTTTAATTTGTCTTAGGGTAAATGATCCAGTGTGTAGATCTAGACCCTTTAGATCTGTCAAAAACATCAAGAAGCGTTCAAGACAATTGAAAACTCTCTTTCTAATCTATAACCAAGTATAAAGAGGATTGACAGAATTAGATTGCACAGGGTCGTGGATATATCACTCATATATGACTGCCTAATAGATCTACACACATGAAAAATAAGAAGCTTATGCAATACCTTGTGCTGTAGTATCTTTGGATCCTAAGCAACCCTTCCACCAAAGAATTCCCAGAACTAGAAAAATCGTAAACAGAATGCCAATAACTATCCCAACTATAGCGCCAGTAGACATGTTTCCATTTTCTGATGGTACTGGAAAATCTGAACATAGAGAGAAACAAGGGAAACAGTCAGGGTAACATTTTGGCTACTAAATTATTATCCTAAGACCCTAGTATAATATTCTAAGAAAATCTTCAACTAACATATAAATTCATTGATTGTTTTCTTCTGTTTAGAACAAAAGTAACAGTGGGAAAACTGAGGTGTTGCTTTGAATTTTCAATTGTTGAAACTGGAGAAAAAAGTTACTGTTTACAAGAATCTCAAGAGAATTCATAGCATACCAGGATTAACAGAGATAGCCGAAATGAGTGGACCATATACTCCTCTATTTGGGATGCCAATAGTCCCTTTTCCAGCCCAGTAGAACCGGATCTCCAAGGTATTATCAGTGACAGAAGCAGTGAAGTTTCTAACAATTGCCTTATTAACTCCACCTGCTTCATCTTCAATATTGAAATCCTTCTTCACCAGCTTTCCCTGAAATAATTTAACCCATAATATATTATAGATCTTCTTATGCTATTGAGAGTAAGTAAATTACCATAAAAGGAAAAAAAAAAAAGCCAAAACTGATCTCCATCTATTAACAACAACAAAATTTAACATATTCATACAGAAAAATTTCCATCTTCTATAAGAGTATCTTTCACAAATGACATTTTTCTCTTGTGAATAGTGGTTGCAGGTATGTGATTACCTGAACATAAACATCA